CCATTGTTTCCTTCAACATAGTTTCCCTGTAACACTGATGAGGGAAACATATTGGAGTCAGACGCACTACCGTTGTGAAACGAGGTCAGTCAGGGAGACATATTGGTTTCCTGATACAGCGGTTCGCCTAAAGCTGCAGTTTCCATGAGCTTACCCCAGTGTTAAGTGAGGACTTCTGCAGCTTTCTGTGCCTCCCCACTTGTGTCTGGAAGCTAACGGGTGGGGGTCCCAGAGCCAGAGCTCACCTTGGCGGGGACAGTCGTAGAGGGGCAGACGGCTGGGGCTAAAGCCCGAGGGCCAGCTCTCCCATCACCAGTGTGGGGACTTGGAGTTCAGCGTGGTCATCTGCAAAACAGGAGTGGTGACACTCATACCACAGGCTTTTGGTGGGAAGTTCACTTGGGACAGTGAGGATCAAAGAGCATCCTAGATGTGCTGCAAGGAGGTCACGTGGCAGCCCTCGCTAGTAGACAGCCAGGGCTGCCTGCTAGTGCGGGGCCAGGAACGAATCAGAAAGGAAGTGTGCGTTGGGCCACACTGTGCAAGTCTTCTGTTGTGTCGTTTTACTCCACCCCATAAACGTCGCCGGGACCCTCTGTGCTCAGGGGTGGGGTGCTAAGCTGATCTGAATGGACTCCTCCCTGCTGAGGGTAGGGCCTAGCAGACAGAAGGTACAAAACATAATTTGTTTTCCCAAAGAATTTATTTTCTGCAGAATGCCACGTGGAGGCTTTTAAAAGGAGTGGGTGAAACAATTTATTTGCTCTGCGTGTGTCCAGGGTGCAGAGGGCGTGTGTTTGGGCTGCAGTGCCTGAGGTGACCTGGATGGCAAGGGGAGGGGGTCTCCCCTTGGCGGCAGCAGGATGAGGGGAGGAGATTCCACAGCAGCTGTGAGTCGGGTGCCTCTGTGACGATCTCACTCTCCCCGGGCACATGTCTCGGGGAGGTGAAGGCTTCACAGCCAGCACGCAGGCGGTGAACCCTGGGCATGTCCCTGGGCCCCTGCTGCCTTCACCTCCTGTCTTCGCACCAGCTCCACTCCCACGGTAGTTTGGTAAGAATGCTTTGTAAACTGTAAAGTGCTTTGTATATTTACTTTCTTTGGAAGCCAGACTGCAGGGAGCTTTCCTCACCAGTGTAAGTAGCTGGGCCCGGGCAGGGGGTCCGGAGGTGGCATCTGTGTCGACATTGATGGGACAGGTGAGAGGACAGAAGGAGCTCCACCGAGGCCCCGAAAAGGCCCCCGTGCCGGCGGCCTGGGCGCCGAGGGCAGGGAGCCGGCGAGGGTGGTGGAGGGTGTTGGATCTGGCCAACGAGGCCGCACAGGACGTGGCCTTGCTCCGGCACGCAGCCACTCTCCCACTGGGCTCAGGAGTTTAAACATACATAGTTAAATCTTGATTCCAATGTTTGCTTTCTTATCATGGCAGAACAATAGGTGGACACAATGAGCAGGCGTTTGGTCCCAGGTAACGGGAAGTCTAGTTGGAGACAGAGCCTGTGCAGGGTCAATGACAGGTGGGCTTGTGCCTTGATGTGAGGGGATGATGTCGCCAGAACCGACTGTTGACAATCACGTATTTCTGGCCAGCGCCCTACAGTGGGCGGGACGGGTGGGGTGTGGCCACAGGAATCGGGGAGCAGTGACGAGGCCTCGCTCTGCTCCGGGCCCACGGCCCTGAGTCTGGGTCCGAGGTGTGGGGCAGCGGGCCGAGCCCTCCTTTCTCACGGGGTCGGCCCTTCACCACCTGGGACTCCTCATTCCTGGTGTCGTGAAGTTGTCCACCCAGAGCTGGTGGCCGTTCCTGCCGCCACATTTAAAGCTCACGCACTCGCACGTTCTCTGGTGCTGTGCTAGACTCGGGAGGGTTATTCGCACGTGGTACCGCCGGTGGCGCGTTCGCCAGGGTCAGACTGTTTGCCTTTATGCTGTGGGAGTGTTGGGCCCGCAACAGGTGGACCAGCAAGTAAGTGTCGTACGGCTGCCCACATGTGTAGCACCGTCCCCAGGAAGTGGACGTTCTTCCCCCTTTTGTATTTCTGTCCGGCCTAGCCCACCCAGTACGCTACGCGAACCCATCCTGGAAAACAAACGTCGCCCGCCACACACTCTTCCACCGCACCCCAACCTCGCACCTGGGTGACCAATCTTTGATGTTTTCCCATTTTGTTTTCCCATCATTTGTAGCCTGCGCGCCGCCCCTCATGCTCATAGTGACTCAGACTCGACCCTGTGCGGCAGCTTCGCTCTCAGCGCAGTTTCTCATTTTCCTGTGTGTCGTCTCCTGGGACACAGCGTGCTTTTTCTTTTTTTCAGACAGTCCTCACTCTGTGCTGGGCTCGGTGCTTTGGATCAGCCTAGCTCCACGCCACTCAAATCTGGGCTCCCGGCCATCCCTCCTTGCCTCGCCTCACGCGTAGCTGGCTACACGCCGCCTGCTCCATCACTACCTGACCTAATCTTTTCTCCCTATGTTTTTTCCGTTGTCCCGCCTCACTCCTTCTTTCTATTTTTAGTAGAGACGAGGTCTCAGTCTTGCTCACAATGGTCTCAAACTCCTGAGCTCAAGTGATCCGCCTGCCTCAGCCTCCGAGGGTGCTAGGATTACAGGCGTGAGCCATCATGCTTGGCTAAGGGTGCTTTTTTCCTCGTTTAAAGTGCAGAGTAAAAGCACGTCACGGAAGTTCTCAGTCAGCAGAGGAAACCGTACATAGCCGTGAGCCGGGCGGAGGGCAGCGGCTAAAGAGGCTTTGCCAGGGTGCAGCGAGAGGACAGGCTTGTGCGCTGCCAGCCGTGAAGCAGCCTGAGCCCGAGCGTGGGAGAAGGCGCCGCTGGAGATCCGTCCTGTTGCCGTGGCCTCGGCCACCTGCCACAGGCTGGACGGGAGCGTGAACTGCTCTTCCTACTCGGTGACCTGTGTGTCAGGACTGTTGCCGTGGTGTTTCTCCATCTGTTCCAAGTGGCCTCAGGCCGTGAACCGTGTCATGTAGCCAGCATAAGTGGGAACGATACTTGGTCATTGTTTGTGAGAGACGTATCTTCTTCTTTTTTTAATTTACAGAGGAAAAAGGTTTCTGTCCTAAGCAAAGGTGGTGTATTAGGTTGAAAAATAGCAGTCGCTGAACTGTTGACGCCTGCCAGCCTTCGCGTTTGTGTGCTGTCCAATGACGCTGCGTCCAGAGACGCTGCGTCCTCGCCTTCCAGGCGTGTTTTTAGTACAACCTCTGACGTCTTGGCTCAGAGCCAGCACTCAGAGAAAACTCACTTTGACTCTTCTTACTTGATCTTTAGCAAAATTACCGATTAGACCCATGGTAACGGATCAGAACACAACACAGGGAAGAGCTTGCCCGCACCTCGGGGACAGGCAGGCCTGGTTCCGTTCAGAGCCCCACTGGAAGGTCATTGGCGGCACGCCTGGTCTCACCAGCGCACCGCCTCTCCCTCAGCGCTTGTGTGTGCCCTGCTGCTCTGTGACCCTGCAGAGGTCACCAGGCTGAGCGCCAGGCCAGCGCTGGCCCCAGGCCCTCATGCCATCATGCCTCCTTGGGCCATCCCCACGTGGTCCCAGGGCCTGGGAGAGACACCTGTGGGCGAGAAGCCACTGGCAGTCGGATCTGACATCCAGGAGGAAGGGCGTGGATCTTTCAGAAGGAAAACCTGGCTGGTTACCTTCGGTGCCGGCGAGTTGCGCACGCCCCTTTCCCGCGTGGACCACTGCTGGGTGGCGGTGAGGACAGGTGTCTCCCTACTGAAGCGTCCAGGCTGGCAAGTGAGGAGTGCTGAGACATGACACCCCACCGTTTGGCTGCAGCCTCACAAGTTGGCGAGTTTGGGTTGGGGTCCTTACAAAGGGAGGCAGACGCGCCTCACCAGCCTCCCCGGGGGAGGCGCCCACGCCACCTGCAGCGGCACACCAGAGCAGGAAGACACAAGCCTCGATCCAAGTACCAGTTTGCAGAAAATCCGGGGGCCAGGGATGCCCTCGGCAAAGCCCAGAGTGGGAGAGAGTGCAGGACAGAGGAGCCGAGTCTGAGGCGCGTGCCGGGCAGGGGGCGCTGAAAGGCCGACCCGCCAGCAGCAGGGAATGGCCTGACCGGGGTCCTGCTTCAAACAGACAGAAGCGAGACAATCAGGGAAAGCTTAGTCCTGCCTGGGTCCCTGATGCTGCGAGGAACGTGTGGTTGGCTGTGACGATGGCGGTGCAGTGGTGTGGGGGAAAGGGGTCCTCATCTGTTGGACAGACACAGGGTCCGTTTCATGAGGAACCAAAGCACTCTCTGAGATTTGCTTACAGATCATTCCGGAAGTGGGTGGAGATTTATTTCAAGCCATGAGCTGATAATTGTTGATACTGAGATGAGGGACACGTGGGGGGGGTGTTCTATTTTTGTCTCTATTTGTATGTTGGAAATTTCCCATAATCAAGACTGTTCCTTTTCATCTCCTGAGAGCGGCCCACAGGTTCCAGGGTTGAGGGAGGCGTCTCCCGAGCGTGCAGAGCATGTCCTTGCCTGGGGGGACCTGGGCCGGGGCTGCCGGGGCCTGCTCCCCTGGAGTGGGCATGTGGGAATGTTCCCGCTGGACAGCCTGGACCACACGCGACTGAACTGCAGGTGCTGGCTGGGTGTCTCTGACGAAGGGCCACTGGCCGCGCTTCTGCTGGCCACGCTTCCATCCCTCGGGGCGTCGTCTAACGAGGAGGCCGAAGCCTCGTAGCTGCTGAGTGATCTGCAAGTTCAGCACAAAGCAGTGTGCTCCTGAGGCCGGTCGGTGGAGCAAGATGCGTCGTCCTGTTGGTTGGAATCGCATTCCTCTCGCCCGGCTCCACGCAGAAGTGCTATGTCTCGTGAAAGGGCCTAACACACAGCGCGAGGGGAGGCACGCGGGCCGATATCTCGCGTGGCTACGGCCTGGGCTCTGGGCCGGGGTCGCTTGGTTCCGGGCCGCAGGGGAGGCCCGTGCCCACCACGCTGAAAGTCACACTCTTGCTTTTCAGACTGGGCCACCGCCATCCGCGTGGCTGCGCTGGACTGCGCGGAAGAGAAGAACCAGGAAGTGTGCCGCGCCTACGATGTCCACTTCTACCCCACCTTCAGGGTAAGCTGCGGGCCGCGGTCTGTCACCAGGGCGTCTTTCAGGTTGGAATTCACCATGTTTGTAGTCCAGATTTTTAGCATCTCTTGCTGGCTCTGTGAAACTTATGTATTTATCACGGGTCGCCTTTTAGTTGCACCATGTTGAGTGTAGGAGTCTCTGCAGGACTGTCCACGCACATGGCCCTCGCTCCCCAACAGGGGTGACGGACGCCTGTGTGCAGGCATCAAGCGTGGCCCTTGTCGTGCTGGGCCTCTCCTCAGAAGAACGTGCATGTGCGTGCACGCACGGTCCCTCAGGGTAGAGCAGGACGCCTTGGACGCCCATCATGAGCGTCCCCAGCTGCAGCGTCTGTCCCCACAGACAAGTCTGTACCCGTTCCTTCCACTAGGGGGCAGAGGTGAACGCGACCCTGTTGCTGGTCACATACATAGTATGTGTGTGTGCACGTGTATACAGCCTCATGCCTGCACAGAACACAGCACAGTGACATTGACCTCTCCAGACACATGTGGCCCCATGGAGGTCATTTCTAAGGAAGCTTCACGATCCCTAAACTTTTCCAGCCCTGATGTCTGTGCTTCGTGCAGTGTCCTGACAAGGTGGCTTTTTCCCCTCTGGTTGGGTCGGTTGTGTTGCCAGGCGACGGCACCTGTGGCCTTGCCGTCTGACTGGCGCCAGGCTGGTGGCGGGTGCCAGCCCCCCGAGGGCCTCTGCTGGTCTCGTGTCTCAAGTTCTCTTGCTTGTGCTGGCGCGTGAACGTCAGGACGGAGTCCTGTCTGTCTTCGTTTCAGGGTCACGCGCGGGTCAAGTGCAAGCTTTGGGGTCTTCTTTCTTTCGCCTCATGTGACGTTGCCCAGGTTCACCGCGATGTTGAGCGTGCCGAGGTTCGTTGGACCTGTGCCCTGTGTCACTGGGGAGCAGGTCAAGTGCAAGCTTTGGGGTCTTCTTTCTTTCGCCTCATATGATGTTGCCCAGGTTCACCGCGATACCTGTGCCCTGTGTCACTGTGGGGAGCCATGCCCCTCTCATTGCCGGGCACGGACTCTGCCAGGCTGGTGCTGCTTTGAACAGCGCCGCTGCGGACACTCCCCAGCACGGGAGGAGCCCTCCGGGTCGGCCTGGGGGAGAAGCCGCAGGGCTGGAGAACCTGGCCTGGGCACCACAGACCTGGCAGGGCCACCCGCCCCACGCAGCATGGGTGGCGTCAGGTGGTGTCAGGCGGCTTCCTGTTCGCCACGGAGTGGGCACAGCATGGGCACAGCATGAGGCGCAGGGTGGTCTCGTTTGCATTCCCTGGTGACCTGTGGCGGCCAGTGCTCCTGTGTGGGGGCCACGGCGTCGCTGTCTGTGAACTGTCTGTGCCTGTCGTTGCCGTCCCCACGGGGCCTTTTGTGCTCCCCCACTGAGCCAGACGCCCTTCGCATGTTCTCAGTGTTAGAGTCTCCTTCGGCTGTGAGTGTCGCGCTGTGTTTCCACCGTCTGCAGCGTGTGCTTTTCACCTGTGCAGGGACTCCACCATGTCTCTCTTCCTCTCCCCGTCTTCGTGTTGCCACAGCTGACCGTTAGGACACACGTGTGATACCAGAGTCAGGAAAGTGCCATCTTTTACAACTCTAGCCCCTTGCGGGGTCTCGCTGCTGGCCCTGCTGGTCAGAAACGTGGATGGCAGAGCCCTGCCTGGCATTGCCCTCGGCCCACTCGCGCATCTGCCAGGGAGCACAGGAACTCGTGTGTTTGTCGTCAGTTCAAGGAAACTCTGGAGGAAGTTGACTAGAGTGCTCTCTACGATGATGGTCATTTTGTTGCTTAAATATTAAACATACAGACAGACACCCGCACAAGGCTATTTCTTATTTGTTTTGTGTTTTTCCTCTTAGTATTTTAAAGCATTTACAAAGGAGTTTACAACTGGAGAAAATTTTAAAGGTAAGGACATAGCATTATATTTCAATCTCTTAGCTTCACCTCATAAACCTGTTAAGATAGAAATGGTCTCACGGACCAGAAAGCTCACTGCCCGCTCCCCCGGCCACGCCAGCACACATGCGTCAGCGCTGCCTTCCTGCCTGTCTGTCCTTCAAGAGTTCAGACAGTCATAGCTGCAGTGACAGTTTTTATTTTGTGTTTTATCTTGCTTGGCAAATGTGGTAGTGAAAATTTTTTAAGTGAGTTTTTTAATTGAAAAAACATTTGGAGAAGTGCATGGACCATACACGGGTGGCCGATGAATTTTTACAAACGAGCCTGGCCAGGGGAGCAGACCCCTCGGGCAGCCCCGCAGAGCCGGTTGTGGCTGTGCTTGCTGGCGTGGGCAGATCCCAGGGCCTGGCCCCTCCGTGCCTGTGTGAGGCCTCCTGTCGCTGTGTCCGCAGCCCGCTCGTCCTCACTGGCTGCTGTGCGGTCCTCCCGTCCCCGCTGTGTGACTCCACCGCTGTCTGTCCCACGCCTGCCGAGAGCCTCGTTGCACCCAGCTGGGATTACCGAGGACGGTGCTGCCAGCCTGCCCCTGTGGTCTTTGGGCCCTGGGTGGGGCAGGGCCGCCAGTCCCTGGGTTGGCATCTGCTCTCAAGGGCAGACACGGGCAGACGCAGCCGTGACCGTGGCGTGTTTCCCCAGGACCCAACAGAGAGCTGCAGACGGTCCGACACATGATGATCGACTTCCTGCAGAACCACACGGAGGGGAGCCGGCCTCCGGCGTGCCCGCCTCTGGACCCAGTTCCGTGAGTAGCTCCATGAGAAAGGTGGGGTGCTGTGCGAACGCAGTGCTGTGAGATGCAGGTTCGCACTTAGCGGTACAGCCACTGGCATGTGGTGGCCAGCTCGCTGCGGTTGAAGCACTAAAAGCCTCTTTTTTTTCTCTTAAAAGGCCCGGTGACATTCTTTCTCTCATTGACAACCGTGGTGGCCGTTATGTGGCTATTTTATTTGAAAGCAACAGCTCCTACCTTGGACGAGAGGTACTGCATCCGCTCCAGTCGCTGCTACCTGGCGCTGCGGGGCTGGGGCTGTCCCACTCGCGGGAGCAGCGGCCGCTGCGGCACCACTTGTTGAATTTGCGGTTTAGTTCTCGTTAGTTATTGGAACCATAGTTTGTGTTGCTTAACTAAGTCAGCTGGCTTATGGAACAGAATGCTGTTGGTAGACTAAGTTATTAGTAGATTAAGTTCGCCTTGGAGGACAAACCTTGGTAGGGTTTGAAGTGCGGCCTGACCCTAAGTTTGAAGCTGAGAGAGCTTTGCTAAAAGCACGCTGGATCTTACCTTGAGGTCATTCTTTATCTCTCACACGTTATTACCACGATTTTTTCTTTGCTATATTCTGAACTCCATACATTTTTTGCCAAATCCAAAATTCAGTAAAACATTGTTTCTCTCGTGGGACGTTGTTGTGCTTCCATTTCACACGTAGGGTGCCTTCGCCTTCACCTTTGGCCCAGTCTCAGTCACATCCCAGGGCCAGGCCCAGTGCTGGCCAGCTGAACCTGCCGTCTCCTAGGAGACGAGAGAGGTCTTGCCTGCCCACGTGCACGCTCAGCCCTGATCCCCACTCCTCTTCCTCCTCCTCCCTGTGACTCGACAGGAGGACCCTGGCTGCCCTCCCGGTGCCTCACCGCCCCTCCCTGTCCAAGTTTGGTGGTGACATCCTGCCGCCATCTGTGAGTGGCCAGGATTCTCTGTGGAGGGACCAGGGAGCCACTGGAGTGTGTTGTCCTCCCAGAGTCCCGAGGCCTCCTAGCGTGCGTGCCGTCCCCGGCAGTGCCACCCCTGCACACACCTGTGACACGAAGACCAGAGGCAGAGCCTCTTCCCCCACCCACACTGCATGCTGGCTCTGCCCACCAAAGGGGGTGCTCTTCAGCATGGACAGGTTCCTGGGGTGGCCTAGAGCAGAGGCCTGAGCACAGTTCAGAAGAGGTACAGTCTGCTCAGAGCATCTCCAGGTCATGCTTAGCCAGGGCCTGGGTCCAAGAGATGGCTGGTTTTGCTGACACTGGAGAGAAGTAAAGAGAGACGGGCTCTGCCTCTGAACATGGTGCTGAGCCACGCAGGGTTTGCTCTAGATCCTGAGGTGCCACTCCTGCGCTCTCTGCCGTCGAGCCCCGCCTTGCAGCTCATGTAGGGAAGGACAGGCGCCCTGCGGCCTGCTGCACCCGGCTGCACTGCAGGCCAAGTTGCCTCCTATGGGGGCGGGGGCAGCCTTCCAAACGCAGGTGCATGCCCGCCTGACCTCACAGCCATGCCCTCAGTAAAGGGACTTCCTTGACTAATGTGAATTTTGTGGAGGGTACACTGGTTTAAAAAAGTAAAAAGTTCATGGATGAATGTTTTTTTTCTTCAGTAGTCTGGAAAGTTACAAAATGAGATTGTAGTTTCTGCCCATAGGTGTGCGTCTTGTTCAGTTACCTTAAAGTGCAATAAGAGACATTTTATTAAGATGCAAATGATGGTCTTGCTGGTAGAAGGATAAATGTAGATTTATTCCAAACCTGTTGTTTCTAGTTTCTGTGAGCATAATGCTTTTGTGCTTTTGTTAACATTAAAGATAGAGTCACCCTTGACACCTACCCCATTGTTTTCATGTGGAGGCAGGGCCTCGCTCTGTTGCCTGGGCTAGACATCATCACAGCTCACTGCAGCCTCAAACTCCTGGGCTCAAGTGATTCTCTTGTCTCAGCCACCCCAGTAGCTCAGACTACAGGCATGTGCCACCATGCCCGACTAATTTTTGTTATTTTATTTTATTTTTTTTTAGAGATGGGGTCTTGCTGTGTTACCCAGGCTGGTCTTGAACTCCTGGGCACAAGGAATCCTCCCGCTTTAGCCTTCCAAGTAGATGGAACTACAGGTGTGAGCTGCCACACCTGGCTTTTTTTTTTTTGCAGAGATGGGGCCTCACTATGTTGCCCAGGTTGGTCCTGAACTCCTGGCTTCAAGTGATCCTCTTGCCTCAGCCTCCCAGAGGGCTGGGGTACAGTTCTGAGCCCCCGAGCCTGGCCTCTCTTGATGATTTAACGTCCTTGTGTGTGAAGGGTTGCCTGTGAGGTGTATGTCTACACATTGTGGTATTTTCTGAGAAAACGGCCATCCTCAGTGAAGGTAACTTGATTTTCTTGTCACTCAGGTGATTTTAGACTTGATTCTGTATGAAAACATTGTGGTGACCAGAGCACTGGACGGGGAGAAAGCGCTTCTGGAGAAACTTGGTGTTTCTTCCGTCCCTTCATGTTACTTGATTCACCCAAACGGGTCACACGGGTTAATCAACATGTAAGTGTTAGTTGGCAGCATGGCGGGGACCAGGAACCCCGTCCAGTGTTGAGTTGTGGGGCAGAGACTCAGAGTGGGCGGGGCCAGCCCAGCCCTGCCACGCCCCCTCCCTCGGCAGATTTCAGCCCACGCTCCTAGCTCTGGGCTGTTATTAATAGTTGTCAAACCCTCCCCTGTGCCAGGCTCTGGGCTCCAGGTTGGTCTGTGTCTGCTGGTGGCTGGTGAGCTCACTTGCCCTCAACCTGCAGAACAAGAGCTGGGACCAGCAGGAGCCCCCGTGTGCCCTGTGCCTCTGCAGTGAGTGCCTGTGTGCCCCTAAGATAAGCCCAGCCAAACGGCAGACAACGTGAATAAAGTTGGAAAAAGCAAAGTAGATGAGAAAGTTAAATAACATCCTGAGGCTGCAGAAGAAACCTGTGGCAGCTGCCCTGCCCTGGGCTGCCCCCTGCCCCAGGCCCTAGGCCTGGTCACTAGCAGCTTCTCGCATGTGCCTGTCCGGCACCTTCTAGGTGCAGGGATGCTGCAGTGGGAGGGCAGGATACGTTTCCTACCTCTTGGAGTTTCTAGTTCAGCATCTTCCAAGATTGGCGAGGGCCATGAGGGTGCCCTACCCGGAAGCCCTGAGCACACCGTGGTTGCCTAGGTATAGATTTCTATTCTAAGAAAAAAAATGCTGGTATTCAGGATAACCGAGGAGGTCAGTGAGCTCACTGTGTGTCTGAGCCCTGGGAACGCGGCCCCTCCCGGCAGAAGCACGGCTCTGCCCTCGACAGCTGCCCTGAGCGGCTGCCGGACGCTTAGCATTAAAAGTGTCATATGTGCAACTTCTTAACGTACAGTAACATTTTACAGGTAGTGTACTGTTTTTACAAATAACACTGCCGCATGCCGTCTTTGGAAGTTACATCGAGCTCTGAGTTTCGGAGGGAGTACTCAGTAATGGTGTGACCACGTCCTCAGAAGGCCGCCTCCACCCTCTCCAAGCAGGGCCAGCACTGCAGGGAGCTCAGGGAGCTGTCATGCGGGGGGGGGGGGGGTGCTCCCAGGCTCCGACTTCCAGATGCCCACTCAGAGCTGGCAGATTGTGGGCACGCTGGCGAAGGCTCTTAGGCATGTCGAAAATCACAGTCGGGATAAAGCTGATCTTGGCAGATGCTCAGACCAGCTTTACGAAACGTCTTAAGGTCCCCGCCAGGCATAAATGAATCATAGCACTTATTACAAGTGGGCCAGCGATTATCTGGGGATTTGGTTCAGGGCGTCTCATCCCCTCAGGTGGAAGCTCAGCCCCAGGGGTCCAGGCTGCAGCGTGGTCATCGTGTCACCCACCCATCCCCCGGCGAGTGCCAGGGAGGGAGTCGGGAGCTTTCCCAAGTACAGAGCGGGATGGCCCTGACTTTGTGACTCGGTGACCCTCCCATGGCCCTCTTCTTTGGCGCAGTGTGAAGCCTCTCCGATCGTTCTTTTCCTCGTATTTGAAATCACTGCCAGATGTGAGGAAGAAGTCACTTTTCTTGCCTGAAAAGCCAAACAAAGAAGAAAATTCCAAAACAGTAGTTTGGAGAGAATTTGACAAGCAAGTATTCCTCCTGGACTGGTGCTCGGGGGCTGAGGGTAGACGCAGGGGCTGTGCGTGCGCAGGGTGCTGGCACCGACCCTGGCAGCCCTGGGAGTCCTGGGGGGCGGGACGTCGTGGAGAGGTGGGTGGCGCCTGACTCTGTGCCGTCTCTCCCAGGTCCAAGCTGTACACGGCCGACCTGGAGTCGGGCCTGCACTACCTGCTGAGGGTGGAGCTGGCAGCCCACAAGTCCCTGGCAGGAGCGGAGCTGAAAACACTCAAGGACTTTGTCACTGTCGTCGCCAAGGTGTGGGCCGTACTCGTCTGGGATGGGTGTGGGCGTTGGGCTCTGTGAGGAGCACGTGTGTGGAAACACTTGTCGTTTGGTGGAGGAATCGGCTGAACTCCACCTGTCAGCTGTTTGAGCCTGCACCATGGTTCAGCTGGCATTTCCTGGGCACACCTGTGTGTCTGACACTGTTCTGAGCACTGGGGCTGGGAGCTGGGGACTTGAAGCTTTCCGGTGGACAGTGGGCATGTAGAGGGTGGAGGGCTTGGGCAGGGGGCCCAGGGTATAGTCTGGGCACCGTTTGAAAGGCTCAGCTCTGGCTGCCTGGAGAGGGGATGGATGGCAGGAGGCTGTGGCCGTCCCCTGCTGGGGGCTGGATGGACCTCAGCAGCCTATTTGGGGGCCCACGGACAGGGCAGGAGACAGAAGCAGGGGCCCCGGCAACCCAGGTTCAGGGAAGGGTCCGGGGCTCCACCCGTGGCACCATCATCGCACAGATGTGGTGTCTGAAACTGCTGATTGGGTCACCAAGGAGGACAGAGATGTGGCCCACAGGGTCGGCTGAAGAGGATTGGCCAGGGAGATGGTTAGGGGAGCCTTGTCGGACCCGGGCTGTGGCCTTCCGCACGCTGACCCCAGACAGCCCAGCCCCAGGCCCGCCCCAGCCCTGCTGCTGGGTGCAGGAGGGAGCGCCTTGCCTGGTGGTCACCAGGCGTCATGCTGTGACCCAGATTACTTGTATTGTCTAAAACATAAGGGGGCTCAATTTTAAAAGATTTCTCTGTTCAAAAGTAAGGTCCTTTATAGAATAATGTATATTCAACACTTTGGATCGTCAGAGTTTACTTCTACAGCAGGATTTTTGAAGCATAAAGGGATAGAATGTTTGTCTCAAGGAGTCGTGGTCTTTCAGACTCACGTTGTTGGACCCCTTTTACCCACGGTGTCACTGAGGATCGAGAAATCTCCAGCTGGCCTCCTTTCCTTCGAGAAAGCGTCCTGCTGGTCTGCCCGTCACGTTAGCGCTGGGCGGTGTGGCCCTGGCGACAGCCGCCAGCTGTCAGCAAGTGTCAGGGCCGCTCGCTCTGCCCACGTGCGCTCCCCCACGCTGTAGCTGAGTGGACGCAGTGTCTCATACAGTGCGGGCGGCTCCTTAAGGCAAGGGAGTGATAAATTATTCTTGGCAATTTTTCTAAAGTGTGCCTAAACGTCTGAAGGTAAATTTTTTAGAGGGTAGTGGAAGAATTGGTAAAAAAAAAAAAAATTCCAAAAAAAAAGAGAAGGTATCCAGGATCAATGGGACATGGTATAATAAAAAGACAATAGATAGATAGACAGACAGACAGACAGAAGGTAAATCCCGTGCTGGTAGATGGGTAGTGGTGCTTCGTACTGTGGGCGGGGCCTGTCATGTTTGAGTCTGGCTGTTTTAACGGCATCCGCAAGAGTGTAGCCCAGGTTTTAGGTTCTTTTGGCAGCTGTATTTGTATGTTTAATGAGGCAACGTTTAATCAGGTTGCTTGTTAAAGGAGGACAGACCCCGGGGGCTTTCAGCCAGTTGCTCCTCCGGCTGCTGTGTCAGCCACACGCCCTCCACACAGTCACTCGGCCAGCACGGCCAGGGCGAGGGCAAGGGGAGCGGGTGGGTAGGGAGGGCAGAGGTAGCAAGCCCTTGCTGGCTTGATACTGAGTCACACACTGGGACCGGTGGCCTGTCACCGTGAGGCAGGTGGCTGCCTGGGGGGGGAGTGAGGCGACGGGGGTAGGCTGGGGCACAGGTGGGCACAGGTGGTGCTGGAGAGACGCTGCCCGACGCCGGCCCCATGGCACCCTGGGTTTCCCATATCTCGTCGGGGACCCTGGTTGTCACAGGGGCCTCCTTCTCGGTCGACCCATTGCCCTGCAGGTGATGCGCCAGTGCGGGCGGGTGGGCGGGCAGGGGGGCGTTCGGTCCTGCTGACCCAGGCCCTCAGGGAGCACATGGGCTGCAGGTGGCGCTTGCCCCAGACGCTCTCTCAGGGTGGGTCCTTCCTCGTCCAGTTGTTCCCAGGCCGCCCGCCGGTGCGGAAGCTGCTGGAGACGTTGCAGGAGTGGCTGGCCAGCCTCCCGCTGGACAGGATCCCTTACAACGCCGTCCTCGACCTGGTCAACAACAAGATGCGGGTGAGCCCCAGGCCCGCCCCAAAGCTCAGGCCCTCAAACGCTGCACTGTCTCCTCACCCGACTTGCTTTCTCCTGCCTGCCTGGTGCTCAGAAAGCGAAGCCACACGTGCACGTGGATGGTCACCCTGGCTTTGCTGCCAGCACTCTGCGCCCCACGGCACAGGTCCCGTCCCCCCCGTCCTCCGTGGCTGAGCCCGTGGTTTATGCGCTGCTGTCTCCAGGAGCTTTATATCCACCTCCTCTCTGGCGGGGCAGCATCATGCTGGGCCTTTAGGGACAGTTCACCAGGCCAGGCATGCTCACGCCTGTAGTCCCAGCTACTCAGGAGGCTGTGGCAGGAGGATCACTTGAGCCCCGGAGGCCCAGGCTGCAGTGAGCTGGGATCGCGCCATTGCAGTCCAGCCCAGGTGACGGAGCAAGACCCTCTCTCAGAAAGAAGAAAAGGACAGGCAGGATCTGGGGCTAACAGGCTGTGAGGGCACGTCCTGTGCAGCAGGACAGGTCACCAGTCTGGGACAGCCTGTCCCGGGGAGGCAATTTTCTAAAGCAGCGTAGTACTGGGGCTTTACTTTTCAGTCTTAGTAATTAAGCCCATCTACGCTCCATACCTCAAAGTCACCAAAGACATTGGACTCAGGGAGTGTGGTAGCCCTGCGGGAGCTGCCGCCAGAAGCCAGGTGCCAGTAGGTGACCATTTTCCCTCAAGGCCTGGGCGCTGCCCCCCACAGTCCTGAAGAAGCGGGCCCCTGGAGGCTGGGGGCAAACCCGGCCTTCTGTTTGCTGGAATGTTCCGGGACAGCACGCTCAGCCCAGCGTGGGCAGGTTGCCGGGAACCCTGGTCAGGGCGGCTGCCATGGGAGACACTGTTGGCTCCACCACCGGCTCCCCGTGGCTGAGGAGCACATGGTGCCTTCACGATGAGCTCAAGGCCAAGGCAGCACCACAGTGTCTCCCCTTGTGACGGCAGGTCCTGGGCTCTGGAGCCCTCGGCAGGGACGGTTGGCAGAGCAGGAGGCTCGACTCGACGGCCCTGTGCAGGTGGAGGTGCCCGCCACTGCACAGCGGTGGCGTATCCTGGCTCATGTGCTCGCACCGACCCTCCCTGGCTGAGGGCTGCAGAGAGTTGGGCTTTTGACTTGGCCGCCTTTTCTCTTAGGACCGTCACTGTGACTGGTTCTGACTTAACAGAAAAGGGGAGTCTTTGTGTGTAGCCTGGCTGGCTCATCAAGGCACAAACTCTGCCCAGAGAGTGCAGGACACGGGCCGTGCCTCCGGGGTTTGGGTTTTGTACTGAACATAAATTGATGCGTTGGTGATTTGTACAGATCTTACGTGTGCAGTTGATGGAGTTTTGAAAAATGTACATCCCCACTGAGATCAGGGCAAATCTGAACATTTTAACAATTTTCTTTTATTATTTGTGGGTTTTTTTTTATTTTCTTTCAGATTTCTGGAATATTCCTTACTAATCACATAAAGTGGGTTGGATGTCAAGGAAGCCGACCTGAGTGGAGGGGTTACCCATGCTCACTCTGGAAATTATTCCACACTTTGACCGTTCAAGCCTCGACCCAGCCCAAAGCGCTGGCCGGCACAGGTGAGCTGTCCGCACGATCGGGGTGGGGTGGGGGTGGGGGGATGGTGGTCTGCCCCACTCGTTGCCCACACTGGTGCGTGCCAGGCACCGTCACGAGCACATGGGCAGGTTCATCCGCCATGTGTGCGGCCAGGGCGCCTGCGGCCCCAATAAGGAGAGGACGCTGGTGTCTCCTCAGGGTTCACACGCGCTCGCGCAGCCGTGGCTGTGGCCCCAGGGGCCGGATGTGCGCAGCTGACCTGCGGGAAATAATCAGAGAGGGAGGGGATGCCGGCCAGGACGTCCTCTGCAGCGTAAACGCTCCTTTTTTGCTTTAAAACAATAAGAGAATACGTGGGATCCTAGCACTCTGGGAGGCCGAGGCGGGCGGATCATTCAAGTTCAGGAGTTCGAAACCAGCCTGAGCAAGAGCGAGACCCCGTCTCTACTATAATTAGAAAGAAATTAATCGGCCAACTAATATATATAGAAAAAATTAACCGGGCATGGTGGCGCATGCCTATAGTCCCAGCTACTTGGGAGGCTGAGGCAGGAGGATCGCTTGAGCCCAGGAGTTTGAGGTTGCTATGAGCTAGGCTGACGCCACGGCACTCTAGCCCGGGCAACAGAGTGAGACTCTTGTCTCAAAAAACAAACAAACAAAAAAAAAACCGCTATGGCTTAAAACAACCGCCACTTACATGAGGCAGCGCCTGCGGCGGGCTGCACTAGGCGTCTCTGTTAGCGCAGGGGCTCGCGTGGCCGTGGTCATCTGTGGCAGCTGGTTGGCCCAGGAGCCCCCGTGCCTGGCCAGGATCCGTGGGAGGGGAGAGATGCCACCTGTCAGTGGGAGCGTGGCGGGCCGTGCGTGCAGCGGGGAGGCTCCTGCCGCGGCTCTGGGCTGACACTAGGTGGCTGCCCCCCAGGGTCTAGCGGGAGTGGGAGTGGGTCTTAGCCTCTGACTCTTGAGAATCGTACAGAAAGAAAAGTAGCACGTTTCAGGGGAGAAACCTGGGGAGCTCTCCGAACAAACTGAAATCAGAAGGCTGGCACTGCCTGACCTCATGGGCCAACCTTTTACCTCTCCTGAAACACGAGCCTGTGCGATCCGAACCTCGCGTGTGCACAGGGCAGGTTCCGGTGAGGACCGTCCCAGCGCTGCGTCCTCTCTCCCGCCTGCCCTGCCAACACGTGCGCACGAGGGATGGCCCCGTGGGGCAGCCCGGCGGTGCCAGGGAAGGGAGCTGAGTCACCAGGGTGCCCGTGTGAAGACACGGGACCGACGCTGGTGCAGTGGGAGCGTGAGGGCAGCAGCAGCGACCGGCACCCGGCTGGGCAGGTCCTCAGCCCCCCTGTCAGCGCCAGTGGGGCGATCTCCGGGGACTGCGTCTCAGACAGAGGAATTGGGTCAGACGCGACTGTGGGATTAAGTGTGGAAGGTTTTTCTTCTCCTTATTGTAGTTTAAACCCCATCCACTGACACGCCTGCTGGGTCCCCTAATCCCCCCAGGTAGAGGTTTATGGTTCTTGTCCACTTTAAAGATTAGGGTGGCCCGAGCGTGCGGCGGTTTGGGGGGGAAGGGGAGGGATTACCCAGGGACACGAGGCAGATGTCTGGGGAGCCCGCGCCGAAGAGGAGGGCCCACGGCCACCCCGAGGACGGGCTGCCGGCCAAGGAGGAGCTGGCACCGTGCTTGATGCTTGCCGTCTCCGGGTTCAAGGGAGACCAGACACTTAGACGGGGCCTTTGGACAGCTGTCCCTCGTAGGTAGAACCTCGACAGGCACCAGGCCTGTGCCGACGTGAAGAAGGGAGACCCCCTGGGGCCTGCTATTGATAATTCCGCTGAGAAATAAGAGAGATTCATTCTCAAGAGCATGTCTTTTTTTGCCATATTTTGCCACGTTTCTTTTAATGACGACATTTAATCTGTTTTGACGTCATTGGTCCCGGTCTCAGCTGTGCGGCGGGGGCTGCTGGCCCAGCCCTCACTGCGCCTGGGTCCTGGTGGGGCTTCTCCCAGCACGGTGCCCGCCGCCGCCCGCCTGTGGGGCAGGGCTGTTCTCTGGAAGTGTGTGTGTCACTCACGCACAGCGTCTGCTCAGGCACACGCTGTCCCGTCATCTCTGTTTTATATACAGGTACATGACCTCTATGTGGCTGGTCGGTGCTGGGGTGTTTTCTCTTAAAACAGCCGCTATTTGAGGTGGTTTAGCCCTTTAGAAAAAGTGCGGGTTCTGACCACCTCTGCCCTGCTTCCCCCAGAGGGAGGCCTGGCAGCTGCTCCGGGTCACCGTCACTGCCTGCCCCGTGGAGGGCCTGCACGCCTCGTGCTCTGTGGGATTTCGAGCGTGGCGGCTACAGACTGGGAATGAGCAGTGCCGTTGCCGGGAGCTACTTGTCGGGTGGGAGAAACACGCGGCCGGAGGAGCCCTTGTTCCGAGGGGCCACACTCTGGGCCGTGAGGGCAGGGGCGGCTGGGTCGGGAGCTGCACTCCCGGAGCACAGTGGAGCCAGCGAGGGGTCTGCCTGTGTGTGTGCCAGGTCTCCAGGGGACACGGGGCAGCCCGTGTTGCGTGTAGGGCATGGGGCCCGTCCCCACCGCGGGTGCCACCCGGGCTCTGGCTCTGCACCAGACACACCTGGCGCGAGTGGCTCCCGCCCGCGGTGCCAGCTGGTTCTCCCCCGCGCAGGCTTCGAGGACGACCCGCAGGCCGTGCTGCAGGCCGTGCGCGGGTACGTGCGCACCTTCTTCGGCTGCAGAGAGTGCGGGGAGCACTTCGAGGAGATGGCCACGGAGTCCCTGGACTCGGTGAAGACCCCGGACCAGGCAGTTCTCTGGCTCTGGAAGAAGCACAACGTCGTCAACGGCCGCCTGGCAGGTGAGGAGACGCCACGCCCGGGTCCCTGGCCCTGAGGGACAGAGTGGCGCAAGCCCGGCCATGGGCCCAGCAGGCACACGGTGGGCTGCGCCCTGTGGACAGTGAGGACAGCAGGGCCACGAGCAGGGGTCGTCCCTGAGCTCCTGCAGTGCTCACGTGACCGGCGGTGGTCTGGAGGTCTGGAGGCCGTGGCTGCCGTGGCAGGAGCTTCGGGGGCTCGCCCCACCCCAGCCTCCCAGCTCCCGCTCCCACTCGGGGCCTGGAGGAACGTGGTCTGGCTCTTCCTTCCCATTGTGCCCTTCGGTGGCCGCTAGACCCCGAGTAAGTGTGACTCTGGACAGCTTGGAATATATTTAATATGGGGTAAGGAATGTTAGTGTCCTTAAAATCTATTCTCAGACTGTGAACCGAACCTCTCAGAGTGATTTCATTTAGAAAAACTAAATGGGGCACATGTATCTCCTCAGAGTTAAGTAATTCAAACTACTTCTAAATCAATGGCAGATTAAATCAGGCTTAAAATAATTCCGCTGAGAAATAAGTCTTAATAGAGATGAATAGGAAATGCCACTAAACTATTGGTTTTTATTTAATCCACTGCATTATAAAACATATTACAACTAAAGCACTAAAGAAAATTGGTTTTCTTTGCGCTCAGAGCTGACTGCCGTGGCCTGGGCCGTGTGGCAGCAGCCACCTTCCTGTCTGCCGGGACTGGCTCCGTCACTGTCAGCTGTGATGTTAAGGTGCTTCCACTGTGGCCCTAACCCGGGGATTTCTCCAAAATGCCCCTCAGACCCTCCTGCCGCCTCCTCCCAGAGGCCCACGTGGTTGCCCCAGAGTGCAGCTCTGAAGCTGCCAGGCCTGCCCCGGCCAGGAGCCCTGCTGCCGGCCTGTGGCCCCGGCCTGCACGCGTCCCCACGTTGCTGGGCTGCAGCCCATGGTGATGGTGTCCCTCCTGGGAGTCCTGTGTGTCCCCCACCCAACCCAGCTGCAGCCTGCGGGTTGAGACCCGAACTCCCTGAAGGCCCCAGGAGAGCTGAGGGAGGTGCTGTCCGGGTGGCTCCGTAAGGTCTTGTGTGAGGACGCTCAGGCAGCGCTAGGCCAGCGACGCTTGGTCTTCGCTCTGTCCCCTCCAGGCTCCGTGTGCGGCACGAGGCTTGTCGTCTGCAGGATCAAGGTGTGATCAGTGAACGGGCGGAGCGGAGTGTCTGCCATTTCTGGGCACGCCCTAAGTCCCACAAACAGAAGTGACTGTATTTATTCCTTCCGGAAACACTCCGAGGGGTGCCAGGCATCGCCAGGTCAGGTCAGGGGGAGACCTGAGAAGTGCCACGTGCCACAGCCTTCTCTGTGACGGAGGCCTGTCTGGTCTTCCTGTTCGCTTGGCCAGGAGATCCCGAGGTGGACAGTCAGGTGGGCTGTTACCACGCCACTTTCGCGGAGGGAGAACAGTAACACAGCGCGCACTGCGAGTGCAGGGACCTCTTCGGCTGTGCCCTGTCCTGGGAGCACCTGTGCACGTGTGCCAGTCACCCTCTGCCAGGTGCCTCCCCAGAGCGGTGCTGTCAGTGCTTACTGATCCGAGGAACGAGCGCGCAGGCAGCCGTGGGGATACAGGGGCAGAGACTCTGGCCCCACGCACAGCCAGGGGAAGCGATAACTGAGCCACCTTTGTAGGGTGGTTGAGCAGGAGGCTTCGAAACCTCGGCATTTTGGGTGACCTGAGTCAGTCCACCTGCAGAAGTCACCGAACAGGTGTACAGAGCTGCGTGGGCAAGGATGTTCACTGCAGAACTGTTTACGTGGCGTCCACAGGAAATTGGCCGAATAAACAGCGGGGCTCCTGTGCGGTGCTGCACGGCCGTCAGAAGTGCCGTGGTGGACTCAGTTCGGGAGCACAGGCTGGATTGAGCTGAGTGCGAGTCCAGCTGGAACAGCGTGGGCTGCTTTGTCAGGAGAGTGTGTCCAGAAGGCATCCACAGGCCCCCACCGCCAGTGTCTCTGGGGTAGAAGCAGGAGCAGGTTCTGCTTTGCACACCAGTATTTCTTAGTTTTTCCAGTAGTGAACACGTGTCACTCCTGAAGTAGGTTTTGGAGATCCTTGGGGGATTTTTGGAGTCTGGGTGGGGCCCACGTGCATGAAGCACAGGGAAATGCTGGGCAGCGGGTGCTGGGCAGGGGTGCTGCTGGCAGCCAGAGCGGTCTGGGCTTTGTGCAGCGGGGGACCTCAGGTGCGCCTCGAGGAAGGGGCAGGCGGGTGGGCAGGCGGCGCTCCTGTGGGCAGAGGCACAGCAGCACCACGGCAGGGCAGTGGCGGCCGGTGTGGCCGGAGGAGCAGCGGGTGGGCCGAGCACACAATCTCTTACTCGTAGGCCCGGGAACCCGCTGGAGGCCAGCACGTGTGCTGGGTGCTTTAGAAAGATGCCTGGGACCCACAGGAGCAGGGTGTCCTCTGGGCTGCACTGCAGGGAGAGGTGGTGGGAAGGGCAGGGAGAGGGGAGGGACACAGCAGGGCCCTGGGAGGAGGCCCATGGCGGGTGGGACTTGGGGGCTGTGTGTGGACAGCGCCACTCCCGGTGCTGAAAGGCCTTCCTGCACTGAGGCTGTCCCTTCTCCCCTATCTCTAGGCCATCTGAGTGAGGATCCCAAGTTCCCGAAGGTCCCGTGGCCCACGCCGGACCTTTGCCCTGCCTGCCACGAGGAAATCAAGGGCCTGGACACCTGGGATGAAGGCCAAGTGCTCACATTCCTGAAGAGGCACTACAGCCGCAGCAACCTCGTGGACACGTACTCTGTGGACCAGGGAGACCCGGGTGCAGGGGGAGCCCTGGCCAGGGGGGAGGAGGAGGAGGAGGAAGGACTCACTCCCCCAGAGAAGGCCCGTGGAGACCGCAATCCCAAGAGCCTTCCTCCGCCCAGCGTGCTGGGTCCCGGACCCCACCTGCCAGAGAGCTTGCACCACAGGCTGGACATACGACTCCAGGACCCGCACGCGTCCGGCGTCCACAGGGAAGCCGAGGCGGCGGCGCCCTTCCTCGGGGTCGGCTTCTCCAGCCTGGACATGAGTCTCTGCGTCGTGCTGTACGTGGCCTCGTCCTTGTTCCTCATGGTGATGTACTTTTTCTTCCGGGTGCGGTCCAAGCGATGGAAAGTCAAGCTTTACCACCCGGCCGTGTAGCGTCTCCGGCAGCGTCAGCAAGGTGGCGGCGCGCCTTGGAGAAACAGCCCCGCCCCGCGCCGCCTGCAGCTTTAACACTTACGATCAGGGATCTCATGAGCACGCCAGACCTGGTTCCCCATCAGGTGGCACCTCTTGGCTTCCAGGTCCTCGTTTTACAAACGCTGTTCCAGCGAGAGAAGGACTCCTGGCGTCCTCGTGCAGACAAGTGCATTCCTGGGATACTCTGCTCCTTTGCGGACCCTACGGCAAAAAGACTCCTGTGTTTCTGCTTCCCCAGACCTAAGACAGAGGGTGGGAGTCCCGGCCCGACAGTGCTCCCCACCAGCTTACCTGGACTGAGCGCCTCCTTCGTCACGGCCTTGCTTTTGTATTTGGGAAAAGCCTACCTCCCCCACCCAGGCTGCGGCCCCCCAGACGCTCTGTGCCTCGGCCCCTCGTGGTGACTTGCCTGTACCGTGTGCTTTTCAGCTGCTTGGTGGCTTCTGCTTCAGCAAGGGGATGCTTTGGGGGGCTTAGGGAGCTCGGAACCAGAGAGGAAGGTGTCTTAGTTTCCCTGCTGTGCAGGTGGTTGTCACTCAGAGAGAGACTTAACCGTGCCAGGCCAGGAGGAGCCAGTGGAGTTTGTGGCTTTGCTGCATTTCAAGAAATAACCCCAGAGGCCTTCTTTGGGTGGCCCGTTTTATTCCTCAAAGGCAGTGCCTTTGTTTGCTAACCTGGTGACAATAGAGATAGGAGCAGATGAGGGCTGTCCCAGTCTGCTGTGGTGGGGGCAGACTGAGAGCAGAGGCCGCCGTGGGAGGGGTGGAGGAGGGGTGGTGAGGCTGGTCTGCTCTGCTCCCCCAGGGAGGCGGCTCCACAGGAGCCCTTTGTTGGCTGCTCTTCATCTGTCACCCTGGGAGGGACCTGCAGGTCCCGCTGCACGTGCCTCCCCCAGGCGCTGGTGCCCTGTGCCAGGCTTTGCTCGAAGCTGTCTGGGGGGGTCCCCACACGGGCACCAGCCTCCCGGGCTGGGACCATGTTTTTTTTACCATTTAATTTAAATATACTGTTTTAAAACCCAAAACTTTTAGTGGTAAATTTGCCTCTGAAGACTTAAACAAACAAAACAAATACACTATTGCTGGGAACATTTATACTGAGAATCTCTGCGGCTGTCAGTTTGTCTCGCAAGCTTCATTTTATTTGGATAAAATAGGGTGAGACGAATTTGTGTACCCGTCCGTGTGTGTGAGAGAGAGACGATGAGAGTTGTAGATGTTTTTTCCACTTTGCCTCCTGTATATTTTATACTCCCGTTTCCTAACTGCAGTTGATCATGTGGGTGTATTTATAAGACCGCTGTGGTGTCGGTGTTATTGTTGCAGCTTGAGAACAGCCCCCAGGTTGGGGCTGCAGAGAGAACCTCCCGGAAGCCATGCCGCTGGCGGGAGGGCGGGGTCAGATGCCCTGGCAGAGCTCTGACCCTCCTGTTTCGCTTCTGCTGCTAGAGTTTCTTCCTGTCTGACACTTTTTAACCCCAGAAGCCTCTGAGTGTTAGCAAGAGCTAGGACGCTAGCTAGTTGTGCACCTGGGATATCCAAGTCGCCACCTTGTTTCTCTTTGGGCTGGAAAGCCAGGCGGGCTCCCACCCTTAATTAAACTGTGTTTTAGGTGGTGTCAAATGTCTTTTTCTTCCTCAAGCCAGTTTCTCTAACGGAATGAACCCGGAGGCTGCAGGCTCCATCCTGACCTCGGGTTTGTAGGCTTCAGGCCACCACTATCTGCCACAAGCTTGTTGCTTCCTGAGGGGGGAAGGGTTTGGGCAGGGCATCAGTGGCTGGCACTGAGCCACCATGGGGGGTGCACCAAGGTGGCCAAAGGGACTGTGTAGACGTGGGGCTGTGTAGACACCGCCTCCACCCCACACAGTCTGCTCAGGTCTGAGGTCTATTTTCTAAAGTTTAAAGTATTTTCAGAGGTATTGAGACTAATGAAAATAATAGTTCAGTAACTTAAACGTTTATTTATTTTTAATGGAAGGATTTTGACTAAAAAGAAGCTAATTGACATGGAAATGTCTGAAATTTCTTACCTGCAAGGAAATTGAACATTTTGTATTGTGCACATTTTAAGAATAAAGAAACCTAACATTTGAAGAAAGGTTGTAATTCTCTTAATCTCAGGGTCATGGGTTAAGAAAAAAATGAAAAATACAGAAACAAGTAATAAAGCTAAAATAAAACAAATTTTAAAAGAAGAAAAAATTGTTATTCTCTTGGGATGCCAATCAGCTCCACCAATGAGTCGGGGTTGGGTCGAGGAGGGTGCAGAACGGCCCCGCCCTCCTTTCTAGAGTGTATGGACTGGACATCTGAAATTCTAGAATTTCTTATATGGAACCAGAGGCTTTTTGGAAAGCAGCCCAGGGGGCAGATGGAAAGTAAAAGATGGAAAATTGATTATAGATTATCCCTGGAGCGGATCTGGCTGACACAGCTGCAGGACGACACCCTCGGTTTCGCACAGTGGATTCGTGTGCGCGGGCAGCGGGGCACCGAGGCCATCTCACCACGCACCAGCCTCCCCGCTCCCTTCAGTGGGCTTGTTTATGGGATATCTTTTTCCTGAGGCTGCCCTGGGCAGGAATGTCCAGCTTTTGTCCTACAGCTTCAAGGTCGCAGCTGAGCTTGCTGGGCACCCTGTGGGGTTTGCCCCCTGACGCCTTGTTTGCTGTCCTGGCTTGGGTTTCTTCTGCCCCACCCCCACTCGTGCGCAGGGTGCAGTGGGGAGGTCACCAGCGGTCTGTGTGCCCTCCCATGGGGACCTGTTGGCTGCAGATTCCCCTCCCCAGCGGGCTGTGCGGAGGCTGGCGGGTAACTGGATCCCGGTTGGTCGCTGTGGGCTGGAGCTGGTGGTGTAGACTCTCACCATCGGTGCCCAGGCCCCCCCAGGCCCTGGGGGCTCACGCTCTGGAGTCCCGAGCAGTGTGTGTTTAGGGGCACTCCAGGTGCCCTTCCTTCTGGCTGCCCTGGGGGACGGAGTGGGGCTGAGATCTGCCCAGAAGTTGAGAGTTGGGTTCCAAGGAGTTAGAGTGTAGAAAGTTCCCCCAGGCAGCAGGAGAGAGCTGGGGGTGGGGGGGGCCTGGGCTGGCGGTCTCGAGGAAGGCAGGGTGGGGCGGCTTTTGGCCCCGCAGCTCCACAACCCGTTTGCTGCGACTCTCAGCCTGGCCTGGAGCTCAGCGAGGAGCGGGACCTGCACGGCTGCCCGCGTCCGCCAAACCCCGCGGAGGGAGGCGCGCCCGACGCCGCGGCCCCAGCGCTGGGGGGCGGGGGGCGGGGCGGGGGCGGCGAGAGGGGTCGGGGAGGGGCGGGCGGCAGGCGGGGCGGCGGCCTGTGGCTCCTTCAGCACCGCGGACAGCGCCCGACCCGGTGGCTCCGGAGTCTGCCCCGCGCCCTGTGGTCAGGAGGCGGCGGCTCCGACGCCCCAAGGGCCTGGGGAGCCCCGAGACCTCCGTGGACGCGGAGCGGAGAGGAGCGTGGGCCCGCACCACTCGGCCCGGCCCCGCGCCGCCGCGATGCTGCTGGAAACCGAGCCCGAGCGGGACGGAGAGACGCCCGGAGCCCCCGCGGCCACCGCCGTCTGCGCCTTCCGCGGGACTCGGGGTGAGAGCCCGGTGCACCCCAAGCCCTCGGGCAGGGAATGAGCACCGCAGGACAGGAACCGCAAGGGCGGGCAGAGGGACCCCGATGGGGGGACACTGAGCTGGGAACAGCAGAGGGGAGTGGAGTCCGCAGCGGGCGGGGGCAGGGAGGGCCTGGTGCTGGCCTGAGAGGGTGCCCGGCTGTGGTTGAAGCAGAGGCCCCCAAAGAAGACAGGGGTATCGGGTGTGGCTGGGGCGATGGGGTGGAGTGAGAGGTGCCAAGTTCCCCCAGAGACCACTGCCCCTCAGCTGCCCCCAAGCACCGCCTGGGCGTCTGTTCAGACCCCAAAGCTGGGACCCCAAGACCAGTCTCCCGCCTGAACTGCCCTCCCCAAGGGCCATTCCACTATCTCGGACGCTGGGAAATAATGGAGCCATTGTTGGTGGGCCGGCCAGATGCCCAGCGGCATGGGGCCGCCTGCTCTTTGACCGGCTGCCCGCCCGCCCCTTCCCCAGCCGGGCCACACAGGGACCCCTCCTGCCTCCGCAGCAGCTGACAACGGCCCACACCCTGCGCCGGCACCCACCCGGCTTCAGGCCCGTGTGCTCTGGCCCTGTCCCTTCTGGGTAACAAGGGTAGTGCAAAGTGAGGGACAGAGAGCGGGCGCGGTGGGCTGCTGGGTGCCGGGGGGAGGGGCTGTGGTTTTCCTGCGCTGTTCCTGCCAGGCCTGGGCCCTTCAAGCTCACTGTCCGGAAGCCAGAGGCAGGGTGAACAAGGTATTACTGTCGGCCCCCGGGTGGAGGGCCTTGGAGGATGGCATCGACCTGCTAGACCCCCAATACTTCCTGGATGTCTCTGCTCACTGCTGTGGGGGGCTGCCCTTGCTGTGACCATCCTGCTGGGGCTCGCTCACTGCTGTGTTCTGGCCCGGTGGCTGCTCAGAGCCGGTGCTGGTCTATGGCTGATGCTGTGGCCCTCTGGGCAGGGGCGGGAGCATCCCTCTACCTACAAGGACAGGTGGGTCCCGTTGGGCTCACCTGTTTGGATTGGGGCAGGATGCTGGAGAATCAGGTGAAGGGACCATGTTCGGTGTGAGTCTGAGTGCCGGGCATCCGGGGGAGGGGGGTGTATCCTGGGGCATCCCCAGCTCGGCTCCTCCTGACCCGGGCCTGGGCTGCGTGTCAGGCCGGGGACACTGGGCCTCTTCTCTCCCAGGAGTAGTCTCATTCCTGTGCCCACTGCGGGCAGCCCGTGAGGGTCTGGGATCGCGTCTGGCTCTGGTGGTTCCATATGAAGCCTTGGGCGCCACACTCGCCCTTTCTGGGTTCCTGGTTGTGCTCCTGCCACAAGCTCCGGCTCCTCAGGAGGCCAAGTCTTAGCGGCGGGGGTACCCGGCTCCCTCTTGACTCCTGACCCCTCCCAGGAAACCGCAGCCCTCCCGGCGCGCACGAGCCCAGGCCGAGGTCAGCGGCCAGCGCTTGGGCAGGAAGCGGCCCGCCGGGGTGAGCGCCCGAGGGCGACGCTTACCTGGATCCTCCCCTGCCGGTCGCGCCCTCGGGCCGTGCACGCGGGCCGCGTCTGGGCCGCGCAGGTCGGGCGCAAAGGCGCTCAGAGCCCGCAGTCGCCCCGGGCGTCTCGCGACCCCGCCGCCCGCGCCGCGGCCGCCCGCCGCTCGCCCTCGCGCGGCCGAGCCTCGGGCCCAGGCTGCCGCGGGCGCAGCGCCCGGCGGCGCTGGGAGTCGCTTGGACGCCGGCTCGGGGCCATTGCGGCCGTGGCGTCGCCGGGTCCCGAGAAAAGTTCGGGGCCGGAGAGCCGTGGTGCCGAGCGGCAGGACCCATGGAGGCGCGCGGGGAGCTGGGCCCGGCTCGGGAGTCTGCGGGCCGCGACCTGCTGCTGGCGCTGCTGGCGCGGAGGGCGGACCTGCGCCGAGGTGCGTTGTCCGGCCGGGCGGCTGCATGGGGAGACCGAAGTTCCTCGAGCCTTTCCGAGCCTGGCCGAGGGGGCCAGCAGCAGCCCGGGACTTGGGTGGGAGCGGGTGCGCGGACCCCCACACGTCCACGCCTGGGCGCCCCAGCTGCGAGTTTGTGTCGGGGGGCCCCTGCGCTGCGTTGCGTTGTTGTGTCGTGTGGTCGTGGCGCGTCCCCGTTCAGGACGAGGAGCCCGCAGGGGTCCAAGGTGGGCTTAGGAGACCCTGAGCCTACCACCTAAACTGGAGGGTGTGCAGGGAACAATCGCGGGGCCCGGTGACCAGAGGCAGGAGGGGCCCGGAGAGGACCAGGGGAAACAGAGGCAGAAGCACGGGCCAGGGTCGAGCGGGACCCCGGCCATGTCATCCCTAAGCCGAGTCGCGGTGTCTGCGTCCACACGCACCTGCTGCTTGCCGCCTGGGCTGATGGTCACGACATGTCTACAGGGAAAGCCCCAATTTCCTGGTGGCACCATTCTTGCTATCAGCGCCTTAGCTCTCAGCCAACCTGGGCGATTCTCCGCGGGCTCCCGGGCGGGAGGGAGGCGCCCGGGCGGTGGGGAGTAGGAGGGACAGAGCGGGCGGGAAAGGGGTTACATCCAGGCTGTGGGGTCTCCTGTCCGCCACTTATTTATTTATTTTCCGACAGTTCCTGGGAGGGGTGGCCACAGGGCTGGGAGGAAGGGGTGGGAGGCGGAGGGAGCCGAGGGAGGGAGGGGGCTGGGCGCGCCTCGCCCGGGGAGAGCCGGCGCTGCGGGCGGGCGCCGGGCGGGAGGCTCGCCGGTCCGTCGGCGCGGAGGGCAGGAGACCCGCGAGCTGGAGTCGCCATGCAGCGTAAGGCCGGGGTGGCGGGCGCGGGGCGGCAGGGGCGGCTTTGCCCCACGCGGGCGCGGGGCTGCGAGGCCCAGGCGCTGTCCGGCCCTCGGTGCTGAATCCTCGCTGCGCGGGGCTGTCGGACCGCGGGATCCAGGCCGAGTCCTCGCCGCCGGATCGCTGCCCGCGACGGCCACCTGGGCCGAACGACAGTCCTCACGCTCCGCATTCGGGGCCGCGGTTTTGCCAGACACGGGACCGCGTCCATCGCGAGTTTCCCGCCACCGCGAGGAGGTCCGGCCCGAATTTTGGCCAGGGAGCCCATACTAACGAAATCCTCCCCAGAGCGGGCCGGTGGGCGGGTCGCAGCCGGTGGCGCTGGGTGTGCTGGCGAAGTGGGCGCGGTAGTGAACAGGACCCAGCCCCGGCGGGCTCTCACCTCTTCCAGAGACCTCTGCTAAATTGGCAGGTAGTCCCCAGCCCGGGAGCTCCTGGAAAAGCTACTCACAGACTCTCGGCTCCCAGGGCACCCTGTGCCTTCTCAGCCTGTCCCCCAGGGGCCGGCAACCCTTGGCGGCAGCAGGGGAGAAGGGCCGCTTGTCCAGCTGTCCAGTCCTCACAAATGCTTCTGCCCCCAGCCAAAGACAGGGAGGGCACAGACTTGCACCCCGGGGGCTGGCAGGCGCCCAGGGCTGGGTGCTGAGCTTGCAGGCTTGTCTCTAGAAAAAGGGGCCCACGCTGGCCGGTGCAGGCATCGAAAGCGACCCGAGTGGCGGCCCTGTCCCCCCACTTTGGGTTTTCGTCTGAGCTCAACGTGGCTCTGGGAGCATTCTCGACGGACAGCACTGGGCTTCGTGGAGTGGCCTGGGCCGCTTTCCTGCTCCGGACGGACACATTTCTAAACCTATTTCGGTTTTCCCCTTAGCCGCAGCCAGGCCGTCGGAGGTGGTGCCCACGCGCCCCTCAGCAGGAGCCAGGCAGCCGCGAGGCCGGGCTGGGGAAGCGGGTGGCAGGGAAGGGGCCTGGTGGCAGGGAAGGGGCCTGGTGCGGGAGGGGAGGCAGCTCGGGCTAGGGTGGGAAGGAGACTCCGCTGCTCCGGGTCTTAGACCTGCCGGTGACCGGCGGCTCCTCGTGCCCGCAGAGGTCCCGCTGTGCGCGGGCTGTGACCAGCACATCCTGGACCGCTTCATCCTCAAGGCCCTGGACCGCCACTGGCACAGCAAGTGCCTCAAGTGCAGCGACTGCCACACGCCGCTGGCCGAGCGCTGCTTCAGCCGCGGGGAGAGCCTGTACTGCAAGGACGACTTCTTCAAGTGAGCCCGGCCGGCCGCCGCGGGCGCGGGAGGGAGGGAGGCAGGGAAGGAGCCAAGGCGCAGCCTGTCCTGCAGGAAGGGGGCTGGGAGTGTGGCCACCCGGGGCGGGGCGGTTCCCCCAGCCCCTCACGATGGCCAAGTGCTGGGGGTCCCGGCCCCTCCGGTCACCCAGGCGGGCACCCTGGGGCTCAGCCTAGCCCAAGCGTGAGGCCGGCCTCTCCATGAGTGCTCCCTGGGTAGCTGAGACTGGCTGGGACATCAGCACACATTATTTGGGAAAAAAAGTTATTTATTTTGTAATTCATGGGAGCAGTCATTAAAAAAATATAAGCTCGCTTTTGTTGAACTCTATTGGACTTACTCCCTTTTAAATTGTTGTTTAGTCCCTAACGCTGGGGAGTTTCTGGCCCACCGGCCCTTCCTGGCTTAAGCCTTGGGGTTTAGGGGAGCTGCCCCCGGCAGGCCTGTCCCCCCCAATCCGCCTTCCCTGGATCCGGCAGGAGCAGCGGCTGTGCTCCCCACGGTCCCCCAGCCCCGAGGGCGAACCCCCTTCTCCGACACGGAAGCAGCGGGCAGCTCTGCGCCTGTGAGCAGGCTGCTGACGCTGAGGCAGGGCCCCACCCAGCCCTCCTCCGGAGCCTCCCGCCAGGCGCCGCGCCCTGACCCGCTTGGGGCGAAAGCGGCCACCCCGCTGCCTGCCGCGCTGAGCCCGCCCTGTGCGTCCCGCAGGCGCTTCGGGACCAAGTGCGCCTCGTGCCAGCTGGGCATCCCACCCACGCAGGTGGTGCGCCGCGCCCAGGACTTCGTGTACCACCTGCACTGCTTCGCCTGCGTGGTCTGCAAGCGGCAGCTGGCCACGGGGGACGAGTTCTACCTCATGGAGGACAGCCGGCTCGTGTGCAAGGCAGACTACGAGACGGCCAAGCAGCGAGGTCAGCGGGAGGGACTGCGGGCGGTCGCCCGGGCTGGCCCCAGCGGCGCCCCAAGACCCTCCTTTCCCGGTCTGAAAGTGGGGCTAAGGCCAGTCTGGGGTGTGGGGTTGGCGGATCCCTCATGGCGGGCGCCTAAGGCGGGTGGGACGCTCACCGAGGGGCCTGGGGACTGGCATTAAGGTGCCTTCCCTGGGGACTAGGGTGGCACTGAGGGGGCGCGGGGACTCAGAGAGGGGTCGTTCACGAGGGGGCACGGGGAAGGCAGGGTCTGCGGTCTTAGCACCAGCTTCCTTAGCAGGGGGGGGTCCTTTGAACTACTCAGATTACCCCCCTTGGTCTGAACTGCCCCCTAAATCCTTGACCGTGAAGACCTGGCCTTACACACACCCTTAGAATAAAGGGGAGCCCGAGGAGGCCGGGGGAGCGGGCCGGTGGGTTCTTCGTGAAGCACTCGCCCCTGCAGTGCACCCCTCGCCCGCCCCTCCCCTGCCCTGGTGCGCCCCATTTTCTCCAGTTGAAGCCAGCGCCCTGGCACCCCCCTCACCTCCCGCTGTGGCCGGTCGTCCTGGCGCCCCTGGCGGGGGTGGGGGGAGTGGGCATCTGGGGCCCGGCCGGGGGCCTCACCGCCCGCCCTGCTCGCAGAGGCCGAGGCCACGGCCAAGCGGCCGCGCACGACCATCACGGCCAAGCAGCTGGAGACGCTGAAGAGCGCCTACAACACCTCGCCCAAGCCGGCCCGCCACGTGCGGGAGCAGCTCTCCTCCGAGACGGGCCTGGACATGCGGGTCGTGCAGGTCAGCACTGGGGGCGCCACCCTGGCCGCCGGTCCCGCTCCGTCCCTGCTGCGTCCCGTCCCCGCCTCTCCCGGGCCGCAGGTGGCTGCCGCCTCCCAGCAGAGTGGGGAAGCCAGGCGCCCGCGAGTCCCCGAGACCCCGGCCCCCTAGCTGCCACTCCCCCGCCCCCGCCCCCCAGGTCTGGTTCCAGAACCGCCGGGCCAAGGAGAAGCGGCTGAAGAAGGACGCGGGCCGGCAGCGCTGGGGACAGTATTTCCGCAACATGAAACGCTCCCGCGGCAGCTCCAAGTCGGACAAGGACAGCGTCCAGGAGGGCCAGGACAGCGATGCAGAGGTGTCCTTCACTGGTACGGGGGACCCCGGGCAGCCACTCCGGCCAGAGGAGATCCGGGAGGGAAGGGCAGGGGTGCGGTCGGTTGCAGGGAGCCTGGACTGTCTGAATTCCCTGGTTAGTGGATTCTTGGGCTCTTTCAAAAAAAACATGTCACTTATGGACCCGGGCCCCCATCCCGAAGCCCCCAGTTGGGCACTCAGGACCGCTGCTCTTGCCCTAGCGGGGGGATAGAACCTCTCTGACCCCACCAGTCTCTAAGCGGGGCACCTGCTGGGTGGGCTTTCTCTCCGGGGAAGGGTCCAGACTGTCGCTCTGGCTCCCAGCCCTGGCAGTGACATTGTAGGGGGTAAGTTTAAAGATGAAAAGTCCGGGCTGGGCGCCTGTAATCCTAGCGCTCTGGGAGGCCGAGGCGGGAGGATCGCTCAAGGCCAGAAGTTCGAAACCAGCCTGAGCAAGAGCGAGACCCCGTCTCTACTATAAATAGAAAGAAATTAATTGGACAACTAAAAATATGCAGAAAAAAATTAGCCGGGCGTGATGGCGCATGCCTGTAGTCCCAGCTCCTCGGGAGGCTGAGGCAGGAGGATCGCTTGAGCCCAGGAGTCTGAGGTTGCTGTGAGCTAGGCTGACACCACGGCACTCACTCTAGCCCAGGCAACAGAGTGAGACTCTGTCTCAAAAAAGAAAAAAGAAAAGAAAAAGAAAAAGTCCCGTCTGCTTGCTTGGTGTTGGGGAGGGGAGAAGGTCCCAAGTCCCGAGTCCCGCTCTCTGGCCCCAGGGACACATCATCCCACCCCAAAGCCACCCTCAGAGGGCTGCCCTGTGGCCTGAGGCTCCCCCCCAGCCGCTCTGGACACACACTTCCTGGTGGGCAAAGAGCAGGTGGTGGTGTCTGCACCCCTCCTGGCTGCCTTGGGGACTGTCCCGGAGGGGCGCGGCTGGGGGGCTGGCACTGATGGGAACCCCCCTGCTTCCCTTGCAGATGAGCCCACCATGGCTGAAATGGGCCCCGCCAACGGCCTCTACGGCGGCCTGGGGGAGCCCACCCCAGCCTTGGGCCGGCCCTCGGGAGCCCTGGGCAGCTTCTCCCTGGAGCACGGCGGCCTGGCTGGCCCCGAGCAGTACCGAGAGCTGCGCCCCGGCAGCCCCTACGGCGTCCCCCCGTCCCCCGCCGCCCCGCAGAGCCTGCCTGGCCCCCAGCCCCTGCTGTCCAGCCTGGTGTACCCCGAGGCCAGCTTGGGCCTCGTGCCCTCGGGGGCCGCAGGCGGGCCCCCGCCCATGAGGGTGCTGGCGGGGAACGGACCCAGCTCCGACCTGTCCACGGGGAGCAGCGGGGGCTACCCCGACTTCCCCGCCAGCCCGGCCTCCTGGCTGGACGAGGTGGACCACGCGCAGTTCTGACGGCGGCCCGGCTCCACCCAGCACTGGACGGACGTGAGCAGTCCTGGCAGCGCCAGGCCCCGGGTGGGCGACTTGGGGCTTTGTGGACCCCCCAGGAAGGACATGGGCAGGGGCCTCCCTTGGCCCTGGGGCTGAGGGACTCTCTGGCCCCTCCTCACCGGGCGTCCAGGTGAGGGGTCCCCCGCCGGCCGGTGACTCTGGGGCCTTGTTTTGTAAGCAAACTGCTCCCCTTTATCGACCAACCAACTGGGCACTTGCTGCTGTGTCTAGACATGAAATGTCACCCCTCGAGGCCAGGCCTTTGGGACGGTCAGGCCCAGCCCAGACCAGCACAGCCCAAGGGCTGGAAAATGCTTTCATTTCTAAAATTAAAAAACAACAACAATAATTTCGCTTTCACTCCCGGGCTCTGTATGTCTCTGAGTTGTTCACCGCTCAGCCCCCCCTTCGGGTCAGAGATGGGCCTTTCTCTCCAGGCAGGAGGCCACAGCGAGGTGCACAGCGGGGCCACGTCTCTGTCCCCATGGTCACTGGCAGACTCCCTGCCACCAGCCCCTCCTACCCCCGGGAGCCTCCACATCCACTTCCCCTGGTCTCAGGGCTTTCTGTTCCTGACCACCCGGAGGAGGCGGACATCCCTGGGCCCCTCCCTCCAAGATCCGTTCTTCAAGCCCACAAGGAGCCCCTCCCCGAACCCAGACTGTTCCATTCGTCCCCTCCCCCCAGGTCAGAGCCTTCCCAGGGCCCCAGAGTCCAGGCCATGCCTGCAGATGTCCGTTGCCAAACTGCTAGCCCCGGCGGCCTGGGCGGGCTCTTCCCCGGGCGGGCTGGGAATTCTGCCCCGCTGGAGGGGGCGGGGCGGAGGGCGCTCCTGAGCCCGCCCCACCCCCTCCATCAGGCACTTTCAAAAGAAGTTTGGGGAGATGCCCGCAGCTGTGCCTGGCCCAGACACAAAGGCTGGCCCGGGTGCAAGTCAAAGCCATTCCCGTAAACCTGAATCTGAACTACCTATTGGTTCTGCGAATGTCCCAAGTCTTTTATTTATCCTCGGGCGGTCAGCTCTTTCCAAGACTTCAATAAATTTGTCGGTTACAGTCAATGAAAGGCCTCTGTCGTTGGTGAGGCTTGGGGGAGGCCGGTGCTGGGGGTGGGGGGAACAGTTCTTTGAAAGTCAAGACGCAGTGCCGGCAAGGAGGAGCCCCTGGTCCCCCGCCTGGGCGCCTGGCGTGGATTTGGGCACCCTCTCGCCCCTGGATCTGGGTCGCAGCTCTGGGCACTGGGAACAGGTGTGAGAGCATAGACTCCACCCGTGCTGGAGGGGGAGGGGCTGGGGTCCCTCCACTCTGTCCCTGGAGAGCTGCTCAGCTGGGCCAGGAACTACGAGCTGCTCAAAGCTTGCCGCTGGCACCAGCCCCCAAAGCAGGGAGTGCTGGCCTTGGCGGCCGGGGTGACTCAGGCACGGAGGTCTCTCCGGCTTGGATTCCAATCTCTAACTTGCTGCGTGAGCCTGGGCTGGTGACTGGGCCCCTCTGAGTGACGCTCTTCTCCTCTTCTAAAGAGAAGACAGTTCCTTCGGAGGGGAGACAGGTGAGAGTGCCCTGGGCAGCCCCCGCCCCAGCCCACCCCCGCACAGCCTTCCCTGCTGCAGGATGGGAGGGGCTCTCCCTCTGAGGGTCTCTCTCGGGGCCCAGTGGGGGCGGGAAGGAGGAGTTGGGTTGGAGCCTCTTTCTCAGTGGAGAAGGGAGGGAAGCTTGGCTGGCTGGAGGGGCTGGGGAAGGAGCTCTCTTGGGGCCCATGGACCGGTCCTCAGTCCCCCCTACCACCCTGGGTAGGGAGGCCCCGTAGAGCGTGGCCAAGAGGAGCTGCTCTGAGCCGCTGGGCCTGAGTCTTCCCCCTCTTCTGCCCCCCAAGTCTCCCCAGCGCCAGCCATATTCTGGGGGGACTGTCAGGCACCTCCTTTCCTGAGTCCCTCAGCTGTTGTGATGTCCCCCTCCCATCTTGCAGGCGAGAAGCTGGGGGCCAGGAGGGGAGGGAGGAGGGGGAGCCAGTCCCCAGTGCATCCAGGCTTGGGGGACTAGGGCCCGGCAGTGATGGAATTGGGGCAAAGTGGCTCTGAGAGACGTCACAGAGAACAGGGCCATCTCCAGGCTGCCTGGCCACCACCAGCCTCTGGGTGTCCACAGACTGCTGTGTCCCGGGGCTGAGCCTGGGCAGGTGCTCGGACTGTTCATTCCACAAACTCGATTCCAGACTCTGCCGCGGCCCACGTGGCCCCTGCCTGCAGGGACACTGAGGCCCGAGGGGAAAAGGCCTGTCCCCAGCTGGGGGAGGGGCGCTGCCCAGGCAGCCAGGGGGCTCCAGCCTGGTGCCCCCATCCCCGCCCCCAGCGAGGACTGCGACTGCCACCCCAGGGCCGAACAGCCCCAGGAGTCGGCTAGGAGGGGACGCGGGAGGGGACACAGCCTCAGCCTCCCACAGGGAGGCGACCAGAGTCGAGTCGAACCGCAGCTCAGCGGGGAAGTGGCGGGACTGGACGTGGGTGTCTCGGCTGGCCGGAGCCCCAGTCCGCCGGGCAGGGATGGAAGGAGGGAGGCTGCGGGGAACCCGGGGCGGGCGGCCCCAGGGAGGGTGCGAGCTCCGGCCCCGCCTCCCCCGCCCCCCAGGCCGCCGCGACTTTGGGCGCTGACAGGTTAATAAAGTGCGTGCGTCCCGCGGGGTCCGCGCCCGTTGGCCGCTCGGCCCAGCCCGCTCCAGCTGGCGGCGGAATCCGGAGCCGATACCCGCCCGCGGGGGAGGGGGGAGCGGGAGGGAGAAGGGCGGAGGGAGAAGGGGAGAGGGAGGGTAGAGAGCAGGGGGAGGGGGAAGCTGCCCCGAGGCCCCTCTCGGGAGCGGGCTGGGGGGCCTGGCTGTGTCGGGTCTCCATCACCCCAGTGCCTTTCCCATGACCTCGCTGGCCTCAGTTTCCCTTTCAGCGAGCGCCGCCTGGCCTAATCCGGTGCGCCCTGCGCCCGGGGGCAGAAATGCAGGCGGGTTCCTCTGGGTCTGTTCCCGGCTGGGCGGGCCGCGACGAGAGACCCCAGGCGGCGGGCGGCCCAGGCCCTGCTGGGGACAGGCGGGAGGGAGGCGACCCGTCCAGCCGCGTCCTGCCCACCGCGCTCACGTGGAGACGTCTCGCCGCGGACAACCAAACGCGTCCGCTGCGGCCCGCGCGCCGTTGGCGGGAATGGGATTCCCGGAGCCCCGTCTCCCCGCGAAGCCAGGCCGGGGTGACAGAGCGAAGTCTGAGGTCCCCGCGCCTGGGAGCCGGGTGGTGGCGGCGGGAGTGGGGCCACCCCGCGGAGGCACCGAGCCGGATAGGGCTGCGGGGAGCGGCGCCTGCGTGCGCCCCGCGCTCTGCGCGCCACCAGTTTTGAGGTTTCCTCCCAGCGGTCGCTGCAGGGACCCCGCCCAGGGGCGGCGCGGGTCTGACCACGGTGGACCGACCATTGCCCAGGACCCGGCCCACGGGCGGCGCGGGTCTGACCACGGTGGACCGACCATTGCCCAGGACCCGGCCCACGGGCGGCGCGGGTCTGACCACGGTGGACCGACCATTGCCCAGGACCCCGGTGGCACTGCGGGGGCAGCGGAGTCGCCTCGAGCTTCGTGGGGGGGGCGGCACGGCAGGGTGCGGGAGGGGCGCCGCGTGCACGCTTGGCTCGCTGATGTCCGAGTCCCGCAGCGGTATTGCGCCATCGAGCGTAGGTCCCCAATAATAAAAACAATTCTAGCCGACACATTAAAGGGCTTCTTTCCTCTTAAATATAAAATTCTCATAAGGGGGCTTCTTTTAGCCCAAGGGCCCCTCCCAAATCAGGGGTGGCCTGAAGACTCGCAGCACCCCCTCCCCCCCCAGACCAGGGACACGCCCCCTCCCCCTGCCATCTGCCCGCAGGTCCGGCCCCCTGGCGTGGACCCCTGGGTGCTGGGGGGGTCCAGACCAAGGGGGGGGTCTCGCAGGGTTGAGCAACTGATATATCCTCGGTTTTCAAAGGCATCAGTCCGGGTCGCTAAGTCCCACCGGCTGTAATGATCAATTCTTTAAGCCCATAATTGTTCAGATTACTCTGAGCAACATAAAACATTAATTTTAAGAAATTTAATAGAAAAAAGCTCTTTAAATCCACGACGAGATAAATGACACCCAGCATGGCGACCTTTTTCCATACCTCGGTGACATTGAATAATCTGAAAGTTATTTACATTTTCATTCTTTGTGGGAAATGTTGACAAGCTTTTGGCCGCGGGCGAGGTGCCCGGAGGTGCTGAGCGCCCCCTCCCCCCTAATTAATGGGGGAGCTGCGACTTCATAAGCGGGACTCCCATCCGTCTGCCCGGGCAACCCAGGTGACGGCTCCCACACTCCTGGCTAGAGCTGATGCAAGGCGGCTCATTTTTTACCATAAAAATATTCCATCCCGACCAGCGGAGCCCCCTCTCGGCATTCAGAAGCAGGGAGAGATTAAGCAGCAGCTGTCACCTGCATGCACGGTGGAAGGAGTCCAAGGCCAAACCTGGGAGGAGATTCCGGCTCTGCAGCCCCCAGAGCCAGCCACACCTGGGTGTGAGGGTGTGTGCAGCATGTGTCGCCCCTGAGCTCCAATCCTGAGCTCCGCGTGCTCCCCGGACGGGCCTGGTGAGCCATCCCAGAGTGCCTGGCAGTCACCCGGCCACACCTGCAGAGCTGGGCTGGGCCGGGTCCAGGAGCCCCAGAGACCCAGCTGGGCCACCCTGGGCTGCCGGCGGACCCCACACGTCCGTCATCAAAAGTCCGTCCCTGGCGACCTGGCGGGGCCAGGCACCAGTGCGCAGGCTTGGGCAATTCGCCCCTCATCCTTCTCATCCCAGCCGTGCGCTCCACCGGCCAGCCCGGCCGTACGGCCTCGGGCGGGTCACTCGGCCTCTCCGAGTCTGCCAAGAGCAGCAAATACAACTGCCTTTCTGGGGTTTCTTCGAGGCTT